TATTTAAATGCATTACAATCTCAAATTTCTGAATTTGAGGAAATTATTAGCAACTTCTCCAACAGAATTGTCCTTCTGAGATCACATAAACAGAACTGACTTAAAACAGGATCAGTTTTATTTTGCTTTTATGTCAAACAGTCAGGGGAGAAAAAAGTTTTTTTTTTTTTTTCTGTATACAGTGTGTGTAAATATCTTGTTTCTGCTGTGGCTGCTGCATCTTTGAGTCGAGGGAACCCGAGCTCCCGGCACAAACCGGGTCATGGCCTTTCACAGACTCAGGTTTAAACGTGTCGCAGCTGCAGAGGAGAATAATGGAGGGAGGGTACAAACTTGTCTTTGTGTTTCCTAACTCCCTTCGGGCTTTTCGAGGCTCCTGCTGATTTATTTAGTCAAACAGGTGCTAACTTCAGTGACTTGAATCTAATGATGCAACACAAGAGGCTCCGACAGAAAACATGGCGCCTCAAGCGGATTTAATTTGCCCACCTGAGCTGTTCAATAACGGCATTTGATGGCCGGGAGTCTGCAGCTCGTTCAGTGCATCTGCATATTTATGGCAATAAAGCAGTTTCCATTTCATGCCTGTGTGACTTCAGAGTTTCTCCGCTCGGTAATCCGAGTGCACGGCTCCGCCGCGTTAACATAACCCCACGGCCTCCCGTTTGATTTATGAACACTGACCCCCTCTTCGTGCGTGACAGCGGCTCCGCCTGTAACCGTATAACGGCCCATTACTGCCCGCACAACTGGACACTTGCATCCACATCAGCTTTTATTCCCTCCAGCTGCTCAACGTAAAGTAAGTAATGATGTGTTTTATCCGGAATGCGCAACGTTGCACCATGGATGATGTAAATTGAGCCGTTACGGTTTTAAATGCGTCTCATGGAGGTTTGGTCAGGGCTAAGGGCTAAGAGACAAAACAGACTTGATACTGTTTAGTTTTGTGGAATACACATCTTGGTTTAACTCACTTGATAAGCACTGAATATGAAAGTCATTCAAGAAATTATATGTAAAATATATAAAAGTACTTGTCAGCTTTTTTTAATTTTTAATATTTACTCAGAGACAATTTCATTACTGCTTTCTCTCTAAGGGAACTTTAAAACATGGTAGGAATATCTGGTCTCCTTGGGAACCAGAAATTAGAAGCTAAATAAAAAACTCCATGCAATATTTACCCTGGGCTTTAGTTGAGATGCTAGCATTCCACTAAATGTCACTTTTTGTACCATTATTCATTTGAAATAAAAGTACTTTAAACGATGCCAATTCCAGGATATTTTCTTAAATCACATAAAATAATTGGAGAGCCTTGAAAATTGTGAGAAAATCTTTTACATGTTATTATTTTTGAGCGTTTTATAGGCTCAGAAATCAAACCAATTTAAACAGGATACACCTGGGTGTCATTGACACGGTAATGAGTTATTAAGTCCAATAATTTTCTTAATATGAGAAATAAGGTGATTCCCGCTTTTCAGACAGCAACACAAAACACAAGCGGAAAATAATCTACTTTGTTAACCCTTTCAGGAAGCTATTAATTTATTTATTGACTGCGGAGAGGTTTATAAATGCCTGAATCAGAAGAGACAGGGCACAGAGATACCAGATGAAAGTGAACACAAATAATTTCACCAGTCGGAATTTTACGGACACTTTCCAATGTCCAGACTCGATCAAACAAGACAAACTTCATATGTGTCCAATTATTATTTAAATCCTATAATCAATACTCGCCAAGCTTCCTGCTAAAAGCGACCAGCTATTTAAATAAGTAGCAGAGGCAACTTCCAACCAAGTTCAGTTAAAACTATTTGGAGGGCACATCTTAAACTTCAAACGAAACCCCTGCCTCATGCCACCAGACCTGACTGCACATCCCTGGTACAGAGGATCAAATGATCAGAAGGAGGTCAGACCGTTTCTAGTGTCCGACTGGCTGTTCACGCAAAAAAAAAAAGAAAAAGTCACAATTTTGTGAGCTGGAGATTTCTCTGTGCTGCACACGCAGCGCTGAAACTGTGACTGTAGATGTTAAAATGCACTAAATTTACTCTAATTCTAATGCAGTGGAATCCAGAAACACAGCAGCAGCGAAATGCCTCGGGATTGTTCCTCCAAACACACTGCATCACACACAGCATGAGGAGACGATGGATCAAAGGTGCAACTTATAAATCAGGCAGAAATCGCTGAACATCTTCCTCTCAGATATCTGCGACCTCTGCCGTCACCTCGTTTCGTCTGATCCCACGAGAGAAACGCGACGCCAGCAGGGCGGCCTGCCAGCTGACTGATCAGATACTCTCACCGTCAGCCCCGTCAGTTTGTCTTCCCAACCAGGTGGCACATGTAACCATTTAGTCAAATCAGCCGGCCAACCTGTCCTCTGCCTGCTCAGACAGTCAGCGCCGTGACAGCCAAGTGTGGTGTGGATGAGTTAAAAGCCAGAGGACAGCTGGCATCCTACACATCTTGTTGTGTCGCTTTAAATCCTCCTGCCGGTGCGTCAGACTAAATCTTACCCCTAATTGACAGAGCAGAGGATGTTTTGTGCCAGGATGCAGCAGAGGGAGAGAGAGAGAGAGACGCGTTCAAACATTCATGTCTGCCTCCGTTCAGACTTCTGCAGTGCTGAGCTAATGATGTGGCAGCAAGCAGAATGCTTGGCGGCGTGTCAAATATTTAAAAACAGCGCTCACGTATTCATATGCGGGAGGTCTAATAATCGGCAGAGTTTTTTTTTTCTTTCCCCTATCTACAATCTCAGAAACATTCAGAAAATATTTTCAATCATCAGCCGCTTCTTACCGATTGAAGCTACATTGGATTGAAGCAATGAGGCTTCTTTAATATCACTCCTAGCCTCAGTTGTCATGTGTTTGAATAACATCTAGAGCCAATTTGCACACTGTGCTTCTTAATGTAAGACACGTCTGAGCAGGTGAGATGGAAGGTCAGAGAACATCCTTCAGGCTGAATATAAATCAGGGAGGGATGGAAATGAATACGCACAGCAGGAGAAGAAATGTTTCATTTGCTGTCAAATGTAAGATGCAGACATCCAGGTATCATCCAGCTCAGTTGAAATTAGCTTACTGTAATCTGTTAGCACGTTACGATTAATTCATGCCAGCTGTTTGATCTGGTGTCGAGATGTCATCTTTCAATAACAGCTGAAAAGATGGCAAATTACGAGTTTTCTTACCTTATTTTGTGCTCATTACCCAAACACGGAAACCTTGGAGTTTCATCGACTTATGGATTTTAACACGGTGTTGTACATATTCAGCTCTCTAACTGAAGATCCCAACCCTCCACCGAGCATGGAGAGAATCTTCTGTGAAATAGTCTTGAATAAGTGTTTGATTCCGTAGCTGACCACTTGAAAAACTGGTTTTATTAATCCTGTCTGATGAAACTTGTTCCTTCAGCTCGGCGTTTTATCGTTTTTTTTTTTTTTTCTTATATCATTGATACTTGGTGGGTTTGATGAGAGCTAATCTGCACTGCCAAGAAGTTACACATTTTCATGTCTCTTATGTTCCTTGAATTGGCATCAAGTTTTAGAAAACTATGGTTTTCTCCCAAAAAATCCTTAGAATTAAAGAAATTTTGTGTTTCATCTGCAGTAGAAAAAAAAGCACATTATTGATGTCTTGATTCTTTCACGTTGACTTTCCAGATGTGGAATCCTGACACACAATTCTTCATAGTAAACTGTCAAAAATGCATCATATTTGTATTGTAGCTTTAGGTCTGCAGGTCTGGAAGTTCTGTTTCAGCCATCCGAAGCCAAATCCGTCTGTTGTTCCATATATGTTGACTTGTCTGATCAACTATCTATGCTTTCTTTTTTATCCCTTATATATTTGTTTACCCTTTTTTTACCATTTCATATTAACCCCTGACTGCACAGTGGTGCAGTTGGTAGCACTGTTACCTTGCAGCAAGAAGGTTCTGGGTTCGATTCCCAACCTGGGGTCTTTCTGCATGGAGTTTGCATGTTCTCCCTGTGCATGCGTGGGTTCTCTCCAGGTACTCTGGCTTCCTCCCACAGTCCAAAAACATGACCGTCAGGTTAATTGGTCTCTCTAAATTCCCATCAGGTGTGAGTTTGTGTGTGCATGTGCATCGCCCGGAACGTTAGCTGGAGATAGGCCCTAGCACCTCCCGACCCCACTAAGGGACAAGGGTGTATAGAAAATGGATGGATATTAACTCCAACCCCGTCCATCACCCACCGATTGATTCATCCAACTGTCATTTCGTCTGTCCTGCAATCATTCATGCCAACCTACACCTACAGATCCATACATCCAACCACCCAACCAGGCTGTGAATGCCCGAGCGAACTCTGGTCCACCTAAAAACAAAGATCTCAGTTCAGTTGAACTCCAGTGTGGTTCAAATGTACAGTGAACAAGAAACCGCTCTGAAAGCAGGTCGCTTACTATAGTGCAGGGCATTTTAGGTAACTACAGCCAAAACAAATGGGCAAGTTGAGCGCTAGACTTGCGAGTCTACCGTCATGATTATTTTCCAATGACAAGAAGGAAAACCTACAACCACTAAACTTTCATGCTGCTCCATTTTTCTTAGGGAAAGAAAATTGCACTCAGTCTCGTCTTCAGAGGGTTTTGTGTCGCTTCATTCAGTGGTTTTTGGTGCAGCGCTACCATTATGCCAACCCACACCCATCCTTACACATCAGTTGTTTTGTACACAAGGTGAACAGGTTTTTCAAAGGACTTAGTGTGAAACGGTGCAGTGTGAAAGCTAACCGCACCGGCTGAAAATATAACAAATGTTGCAAATTTCTCCTGCACTACCAGGTGTGAGTACACCTGAAGATAGTTTGCAAAAGGAACAAAAAAACAAAACAAAAACCTCAAAAATATATTTTATCACATTTTATGGGGCTATTCGCTAAACATCTTTGTGCTCACCTGACAAGAATCCAGTCATCGACACGCCAGACAAACAAATGTGTAAACCATATTTCTTTATTAAAGATTAAGAAACTCCAAGCAGCATATTCATAAATAAAATAAGGATTTCCCTCAGAGATGGACTCGTGACAGACGGTCAGCTTTAACAGTTTGTGTCGTCATCTCGTTTCAGGGCGCTGGAGTTTGAACAGAAAATCCACCTCTGCGTATCTGACCAACCGTAACCTCGGGGTCTTCACTCAGTCGGGATGTGAAGCACAGATTGAAGGGCAAACCGAAACACAAGATCAACAACTGACACCGATAGAAAACATCAATGTGGAGTCTGTTTAAGACGGGATCCACTTTGACCGATCCACTTTAGCACAGTGATATGCATCGTACACGTTCTGCCCTGCCGACTGAAGAAGTGCCCACTTTTCAAATATTTAAAAATATTCATGGATATCTAATCAGCACAAAATATAACGAAATGAGTAAAAAGCTGAACATGACGAATCCCCTAATTTTCACTTGGTTCTGCCACTCGTCTCAGTCTGAGTTCAAAGAAGAGATAATGAGATGATGATGAAACTAAAAATGTTATTTTAGTTCTAAATCACCACAATAACCCTCTTGATTAACACCAGTTACGTTTGTACTACGAGGTTATCAGACTGTAGTTTAACACGTTTTACATTTTCCGGCACATGAATTTCTCATTTGGTCCTCGTCACACCTTAAAATTAGATTAATACCACCTCAGATTAACAACAACACATTGGGTAATCTAATAATTATTTAGAAAACAAACTAAATCATTAAAGTGCTGTGTGGAAGCTCTAGGTTCACTCTTAGTTTATAGATTCACTTTAGACACCAATAACTTTGATTTCCTGTCTAATTTTGTGCCCCACTCTTCTTTCAATTCACCGAACTTCGTGCTTAGTCCACCTCTCTAAATGTCCCGCAATTATGTTTCAAACAGGATGAGGTCTAGACTTTGACTGAGCCACAGCAACAGCTTGATTCTTCTCTTTTTGGTCATTCTCTTGTATTTTTGTCTTTGTCTTTGTTTGGCATCATTATACTGCTGACGACCATGCTTGAAACAGGCTTCAGCTGTCAGACAGATGGCCTTACATTTGACTCTAGAACACATTGGTGCACAGCAGAGTTCATGGTTCAGCCATCAACTGTGAAGTGTCCAGAGCCTGTGGCTGTAAGACAAGTCCCACATCCCGTCCACCACGGTGCTGTTATGCAGTGTTTTGTTTCCTCTAAACATGGTGAAGTGAGTCATAGTGGAACATCTCTACTTTGGCCTGCTCTGTTCAAAGGAAAGTTGCAGATAGGCCTCGATTCCTTGATGTCTATTCTTGGGAACATGGCCAATTGTTCAAATGTTCTATAATGTAATTCAACATTTGTAGTTGTGACCTAAATTACACCTGATTGCACTCCACTGCAAAGTCTGTGGGACGTATACATTTCTCTCAGGTCGGGTATGGGTCTCTGCGATAATCCCAGCCAGAGTTTAGGCTGCACCCAGATTGTACGAAGAATGTGGCAGGTCAAATCATGAATGGAAGAAGAAAGGTGACAGGGACGTAAAGCTTGTTTTAAAGAGATACAGTGAAGAGAGATCTGGTGTTTTCCCCGTGTGAATAATTTGACTTTCAGGATACAAACATCTGCGTTGATATCCTAGTGAGAAATCCCTTGATTCTTTTTTTCTATCCTCTCTCCCTTCTCTTCTTCATATGTATAAACCAGTGTCCCATCTAAAGAGCTACAGTGAAGAGTCAGTTGAGGTTGAGTTTAACTTATAGTGGACTCCCAGTATTCGTTAAGGGTAGGAAAATCCATTGATATTTGAGATCCCCTCTAAAAAACCTTATAATTGTCTGTTTTATTATATCAAACACCAAATATACCTTAATATGCATTAATTCACACAGTATAAATGATGTTAGCGCTACTGCAGAAACTAACATCTTCCGTATCTCTGCTCTTGGGAGTACGGCTAGGCGGCGCCAAGGGAAACAAACGGTGCTTCTGGATTGGCTGCCTTGCAGACTTCAACCAATAATTGTGCACCTTGGTAGTTCAGCTTCCTAATCTTTCTTCTAAATGTTTTGATAGTCCCTATGAAAACACTCACTGAGCGGGCAAAGTTTCCACAAGTAATTTGGAGTTTTACAGAATATACTGAACGGGGACTAGGCAGGAGTTCACTGTAGTTTAAATAAGAGGATGGGCTTGTCTGGGAGGCTGAAGTGGCTCATGTACACAGGCAGATACATTAGTCATTTTAAGCAAAAATTGCTAATATTCTACGCTCCCTCCGAAATCTATTGAGAACAGGAGGGTTGGACATAGCTGTCCAGTATCGAGTGGTGGCATTCATCTTAGTTTAAGACCTGTTGAGGACTAAATCGTGTCTTAGACACTCCTGAACTAATAAATGAACAAATTAAGTTTTTTTTTCCGAATTGTGAGTCGTCTTCAACGGTGCCTTCACACCACCTAGCTTGTTTTTCTAAACACATTTCTGAAGCAGTTTGTTTTGCATTAATCTCAGTATTACCATATTAGCTCTGATTTGTGAACACGTTATCTTACTTTTTATGATAGCATCTTTACCTTGCTCTGATCTGGACATCTTCAAGGTAGCTGATAAATTCACAGTTTAACCAGTAAAATGCAGATTCTGAATGGCCACATTTCAGACATGATTGTCTTTTTTTTTTTCTTTTTTTGACTGGATTCAAAACCGTCTTGAGAATTTTTCTTCATGTGGGCTTGAATGTGTGTGTCAATGAAGGAAATTCCAGCAAAAAGAGTAAAGCGATGCAGTAAAAGAGCCTAAAAGACTCCAGTTAGTTTCCTATCAAACCCCAATTGCTTAGATACAAAACGGGTTTTACTGTAATCCATCTACAATCTTCGTCCTTGTCAAGGTGGACAAGTGGAGACAGCACAAAAAGAAACAAGCAGTTTAAATAACATCAATATCATCAACAAAACATAGAACGTCTTGTTAGATTTGTGGGATACATCTACTTTCTGCAGCAAAAAAAAAAAAAAAATCAAACCTGATGTCCCATCTCCAGAAAGGAGGCCCTTCGTTCCTGCAAGTCAAAGTCTCTTTATTTCTTCTTTTGCACATTAGCGCGTGAGGAATGGGGAACCCGTCAAAGGCGAGTCGGTCTGCTCCTTGCTGCTTTCTGGCTGCTAATGTCCTGAAAACTCTACCGTGAGCGATCAGCAGGCTTCCAAGCAGCCCACTCTGGCAAATGAAAATGAAGTCAAAACTCATTAGGCCTATAAATGCACATTAATCGCACTTATGACAGCAAAAATGCCGGGGGTGAAGAGTGGGCTTTAGATTTCCTCTTAAACAGTTTTCTTTCAAGGCTCGTTATGATATTCTGAGGAGGAAGAAGAAGAAGAGGGAAAAAAAAAACATTCGGCAAACGCGGTAAAACTTCCTCTGTTTTCCAAATAGCTGTGGGATATGGCACCTGCTGAATTGCCTCCATCGTGAGCCTGTGATTGCACTTTGGATAATGACGCCCTCCGTCATCCCCTCAGGTGATAATGGACCTCATTAGGAATGACTTGTGGGAATAGGAGGCCTTGGTCATTTTGCCCTCTTTCCTGATAAGAATAAATACTGAGAAAAACCTCAATAAAAGTGACAATAACTTCTCTGGTAGAAAAAAAAAACATATTTATATCATTTTAATATTCTGGTTAATTACACTAAGCTAAAGGTGAGAGACAGGCTGTGCTCAGGACTAGCCACTGCTGCCTGATACTTTTGCTTCACATTTGCATAATAACTCGAGATTGGGTCGTTTTCTACAAGCTTTGGCATACTGGGGCTGGAATTGTGTTTACAGCTCAATTTGATCAGGGAAAAAAAAAATTTCCATCCAAGTTCCAGTTGACAGAAATGGGCTTTTTTGTCTGCATTGTTGATCACCTGCAACATTTTATGGACCAACCTCAACTGTGTTGGTTCTTAATGAATTATAGGTTGGAAATGAAACTTCTGGCAATTAAAAAGAAAATAACATGTTTTTGTTTTTTTTTTTTCTTTTGTTTTTCAACATCTGGTAAGTTTGTAAATATTTGGAGCTTTAATTTGATAGTTTCACACATGGCCTCAAGAATGCTGATGATGGATTTTCTTAGAATAACGAAGATCTTTGAAATTCGCAGTTGGATGAATAAAAATATGAACATTTTTAAACCACTACTGGATAAGTGTTAGACTATCACTGATAAGGTATTCCAGGTTCTTCCTATTGATTAAAGTAATATTAAACCATAATTGGGAACCTCCTACCAGCTGACTGATAGTCCTACCAGAGCAGATAGCCTGATAACCAGCTAATAGCTCATGTTTCTCTATAAGAAACAGAGTTAAATATACTATTGTGAAAAAGAAGCACAATATTTTTTCCATTCTATACTTCTGGTTAAGCCAATGTATACGGTTCATCATGGATGGATGCGGAGGATGAGCAACAGGAATAAATGTTACCTTCTGGTTTTAAAGCATTTATATCAGCAAAATCCCATTCCAGTCCTCAAGGGCAGATGCCTGGCAGGTTTAAGATGGGTCGGCTCCAACTCCAATTGCTGAATTACCTTCCTCAGCATGCCGTCCAGCTCTGCAGAGACCCACTAATAAACTATTCATTTGAAGTGGGATTGTTGAATGAGGGAAACATCCAAAACATTCAGGACTCCAGCTGCTCAGGCCTCGGATTGGGGGAAAACTAAAATGGATCTAGTCATTCTCTTTAGTTTGAATTTGGTTGTGCAGATACTGTCGCCACAAGACGGTAAAACTTGTTTAAAAGAGTAGTAAACATGTAGGAAACAAATCATATTGCTGATGCTTACATTTGATTATCAAGTCAGGTTGTTAGCTTCTTACCGGGATTAGAAACAAAAATATGTCATACTTTATACGTTAGCAGATTATCCTATTAAAATGTGTAGGGAGGTGTTAATTGTCAGGTTCTTCTTGGTGAAATACTGAAAAAGAAAAAAAGGACTTTCTTGCTCCATTGGTTAAATGCAACAAAATTAAGAACTCTTATTGGAATGTAGCATCTTCATTTATGGGCATTTGAGTAAAAGAAAGGATAAAAGTTTCAGGCATGTACATTTATGCATTAATTGTAATCGGTTTCTGCTTTCTGCATCAAGCACCCTCTCCTTTGTTTTGTCATATTTCAGACGGGGGGGAAGAAATAGTGATCAGTCAAATTCAGTCAGTTAGCTTTGATAAACCCGATCAGCACATCTCTAAACAAGTCAAAGCTGGATATATTCCACTTGAAGAGCAAATTTTCTTGATTATATTGTAAAAACCCAAATTGTCACCTTCGTCCGCTAATTAGAAACCTGAAGGGACCCAAAGTCTAACAGCGATAAAGTGGAAGTTCTCCCTCGAATTACAAGCAGCGTCTGTGTGATCACAGCCTGAAGTCTTCACCTTTTCTTGCTCCACTATTCCTTCCATTCATCTTTCTAAAAAGTGACGGCAAATAGAAAATGTCCATATAAACAATGTATTCATCTGTGTCAAACAAAAACATCTCTTCCTCATACAAACACCGTTTACAGTGGATGGAACAAAAAAAAAAAAAAGAACAGATGTCGACCTCAGCTTTGAAATGAAAATAAAATAAAAAACCAAGTCTATTTTATAGTAACACAAATGGGGGGGAAAAGTGACAATTTTTGTCCGATGCGTCTGAAGGTATACTGGATATAGGTTTGGTACAGAGGTGCATAACAGTGGGTGTCCAACACTACAACGTCCCCTACAGCAGTGCATCATGGGTAGTCGTTTTACACTGATGAGTTGTGGCGAGAGACATCGTTTAATTTCGGCACTTGGAAAACAATCACGATGAAATCCGCGTCATTGTTTTTAATTGAACAAAATTTACAAAGCCATTCAAACAGTCAGAACGTTTCATCAATGTATAGATATAGATTTTTTTATCTTTTTTGTGTTTTATAACTCAACTTCAAAAATTGAGAATATTCAAAATACACTTTGACCTCACTCATTGTCTCGATATTTACAGATATGTACAGAAAAAAATTACAGCCTGCCCAGAACCCATCTGCCCGCCCCGGGCCCCTCCCTCGCGCTCCACAAACCCCACATATACCCATTTTTTCCCTCTTTTAAACGTATTCTCTGAACGGATGGTAGGATACAAAATGTTTTTAATTTATACATGTTTTTCCCTTCTAAAGCTGCCCAACCCACCTACCATGCCGACCTGGGTAAAGTCCAGAGCGGCCGCCACCCGCACCCCTCCACCCCCGTCCCATCCTGTCTCTATATGGATGTACTGTGGGAGGGATCAATGGCTTCGGGTATGGGTCCTGCGGAGACTGCCTGGTAGGACATTGGCATGGGTGTCTTGCCAGGGCTCTGCCGGAAGAGCCCCCCGTTGGGAGCCCGGTGTTTGCACTGCATGGTGCCGCTGAGGCTGGTGCTGCTGAGAGGGTGGTGCGGGGGCAACGTGGTGCTGCCAGGGCCCTGGGACGGGGGCAGTGTCCTGCCTAGGGTCCCCCCATGGTGAGGGTGGGGAAGAGGGGGAGGTGGGGGTCCCTCCCCGGGCAGGTAGGTGGTCACAGTGAGGGCCGAGGGCGGGTAGTCCCGCACGGACTCCGGCCCCGGTACCAGAGAGGCCTGGCTGGGCTGCATGCTGCCGATGTCCAGCGCAGAGATCTCGATAGAGGGACCGGGGATCTGCTTGTGGGCCAAGTCCTCGTCCAAAAGACTGTTCATACGACGATGCACCTGTTCCAGATTCACCTCCTTGTCCTACAAGAGGAGGGAGGTGGGGTGGAGGAGTAGAACAGAGGGGAGACAGGGGGAGAAAGGGAGGGGAGGAGGGACACAGAGGCTGAGATTGGCGATGGGCCGGTTTCTCCGACTGATTCAGCTCTGCTGATGCTCCATGCATTCCTAATCAGGCAGTGTTTGTGACGGACGCCAGCTGATAGACTGACTCCACTCTGTGGTTTGGGTTGAAAAGCCCAGTGAGAACTGAGGCCACAGGAACCAATATGTGTGTGTACTTTGAAATCAAACTTGGCCAGTGAGTATTAAATGTTTGATGCGTGGAGTGGGAGGGGGGGGGGGGGGGGGAAAAAAAAAAAAAACAAAAAAACCCGGGGGCCAAACTGACAGGCAGGAGCTTGTTGGAGAGCTGTCTGCTGTTACTTAGCTTCTTGCTAAACATGATGGCTCTTTTATTCCTGCTTAAAAGATTTATCGAAACCTTCATGTGTCAGATAAACACATAAAAGTTTAAGCTTTTCAGATTTCTGACTGTTTCTCCAGGTTTTCCTCTCCCCTCCATGGCGAGTGTTTCCTCCCTGCCCTTGGAGCCGATCGGCTCGGTGCAGCAGGACTGCCGAATCGGTTCCCGATCAGAACAATTTAATCAAAACATTGGCTGACGCTGCATCTCCTGCTGATTGCAGTCATGCATACTTGTTAGGCATTAATAGACACTTCAGTGTTTCCCTGTTGAACCGCAGGTCTGCTTCAGTACACTGGGTTAAGGGAAGGTAAAGGACAAACAGGCGGGGTGAGAGGAGGGAGCGAGTGAGAGAGGGAAGGCATGACCAGCATATTAAGCAGGCCTGGTGGCTTTGAGTCCAGATTTTCCTTCATGGATGTTTGTTCGCCGCGTGTGCAGTCACAGCGCAGCCACTCGGCGTTTGGGGAGAATTTTAAAGCAACTTTATTCACTTTCCAACAAGCACACAAGGTCAGTTCCTGAACGCGAGCCCCGTTCGGCTCCAGGATCAGATTCAACTCGACAAACTGTAGTAGTCACACTGACACAATGCAAGTGTTACATCCGCACTCCGTATCAAAGCGCACACGTTCAGGTCCCGTCTTGTTTCAGAGGCACAACGTTTTACACATAACCAAGGCATGCACCCCCTGCCCCCACCCCTCAACCCCGCCTGTAGCAGCCTTTCCACAGCATTGTTTTTCCTCTGGTAAAAAATGAGTTAAGAATCCAGAGGCGTTCCTACCTAAATGTTGCAAAGCTCTAAATTTAAAGCAGCAAGGTGTCGGTGAGGACTTCGCGAAGACCCGCTTTCAACTTTTGCTGATAGAAGGTGTTGCTCGAGCAGGCTGCAGGTGCGTCTGAATGATCCCACTCGAGCCTCGAAGAACAGCTCTCTGAGCCAATTAAAACATCTCAGCCCTGGTTATTCTTCCGGCAGACTGGCACCTCATTAAAAATATGCTTTTGGTTTTTTTTTGGGAGCGTCAGGTTGGGAGCCAGCCAAGATAAATAGATGCCCGGGATTAAACCTCAGCCGGTTGTTAAAAGTTGGACGGGCGATGTAAGTGCAGATGGAGGGGGAAGGTGGAGGGGAAACAACAACAACAACAACAAAAAAACAACAGCTGCGTGAAAGCCTCCATTAATTTTGAAAACAAACAACTCCGGTAATAAGGGGTCCCAGTGGGAGGGCATTTGAAATCGTTTTGCCTCCTGTTACTTTGTAAATACAGTAACCGTGGAGTGGATTGTGCTCAAAAGCGATAAGGAGAGTTTCTGATTGGTTCTGGCTCGTTGTAGATTCGAGTGGTCTTGTGAAATATTTAAACTCTTCACCAGAGGAGCTGTTTCTCAACTGGCCCATTGCCTCACATCAACCTTTACTGTGCTGTCACCATCTCTGAGATGATGATCTATCTTCTCTTTGGGCGCCAAGCAAAAATATCCCCTTCTCCAAAGAAATAGTGCTTTTTACAAATGCATTAAAAAATAAAAAAAAAACAAATTAACATGTTACTCTATTCCAGGGGAACCTGAGTTTGTGGCATTTGAGGTTGTTTGGGTTTTTTTTTTTTTTTTGGAACTGTGTATATTCAATATTGTATAATTGATAGCAATGATAAAAAATTAGTTACTGTGGGTTAGACTTTCTATTAGCTATGTAAACTTTTTATGGCAGGATTTGGCAGACAAAAAAACTTTGAAGAAAAAGAAAGCAAACTAAAGCTTTTGTCAAAGATTTATGTTGCTAATGTAAATAAAATTTGTGATGTGTGCTTTTTTTTTATCTTTAGGCAAAATGTTTTTTTATAATAACTCTGTTTTTATGTTATGAGTTTTCATGTTATAATTTCCATTCAAAATAATTAGACAAAGATTACAAGGTGGGAAGGAATACCTCTGTGTCTTGTGTCACTAAATAGATGCATAATACAAGCAGAGGTCATGTTGGGAATAGTGTAAGGCTTTACATCAACAGTAAATGGAAAGGCAACAAAATCTGAAACAACCTTTGAAAGAGTACTTGTTTCTGCACTGCTTCAGATTAATTAAAAGTGTGGCAAAAACAGAAGAGATCTGTAAACTGACATCCCCCTCCTCCCCCAATAAAGCTGTGGTAGCTAATTATTTTTACTTTGTCTTTTTTTAATCCTAAAAGTAAATAGATTTTTTTTTTTAGTAAGCCATTTTTAGTTTTTTTCACCATTGGGAGGAAGGATCTTTTGCAAAGGTTTGTAGAGCGGTGGGTTTTGAAGAAGTTATCGACTGAAGAGAACTTCCTAAAGGAAAAAAGGACTTTTTTTGTTAAAGGTCTCATAATGAAACACCAGTGGTTGCAGCAGATTCTCCAAGTTGGTTGTCTTGTTAGTTGACAACCAACCCAGGTTAGTTCCCCAACTGGGTTAAAAAAAGCCTTACACTCCCCACCACACCTCATAAAGCAAATGTACTCTGCTAGATCTTGTTCCTGCAAGAACCAAGTTTGCCTTAAAGCACGGTTTAATGCTAACACCTTCAGCATTTCTTCACCAATCCTGAAACAGCAGCAAGAAAGATCAGAGGTGAGTCGTTTGAAATTCATTCACACACTTAAAAGATGATCGAACAAAACATAAAAGAGGGGGGGGGAAACACAAAAATAATGCAACAACCGAGAGGGTTTCTCATGGAGGAAGGATCACTGTGGCTGGTGAGATGATCCCAGTCAGTACGTCTGATGAACAGATGAGACTGATAAAAAGTTTAGGTTGTTGTGTTATAATTAGCTGCCGCTAAAAAACAAACTGAAAAGCACTTTTTGGAAACGTTTATATTTAACATTTCAAAGAAATTAGTTTAATTTCTCCCAATTGATGGAAGTCTTCAAGGTGAATACTGGGATTGATTTAAGATTAGGAACTGGAAGATTTGCTCGCCTCAATCAAGCACATTCCTGCTCAGATTATACCAGAAATAAATCCACCTAAAATAAAAAAAAACAAAGAGCTCTGCGACGGCACAGAAATCGATCATTTTGTTCGGATTTATTCGGATGGTTGCATATGAGCTCTAATCTGACCTGTATCAATTGCTTCTGCTTCATCCCAGCCTCTCTCTCTGTCTGTCCAAATGTCCCTCCTCCCCTCCGATGAAGCAGTTGTAATGTCATTATATGTCAATGGACCAGAAACCCTTGCCAGTCTGTAATCCTTAGTGACCTGCACGAGATCATAGACAGTCAAGTGTAAATAGAGAGATGGAGAGGAGAGGTGAAGAGAGGGAGAGGAGAGAGAAGACGGGTGTCCACATTGACATATAATCTGCAGCATGACGTGACACAGTGACAGCAACAGGTAGGAGTTAAAGAGACAAGGGCGCTAAAGGCCGACACAGAATTGTCTGCTCACACTTTAGTTTATGGATCCACATCAAAAGCTTCATCCAGTCACTTGACATAGGTCACATGGTGCAGATCTATTCTGCCTGTGGCTGGAGATGAAACTCAGCCCATGTCCTGTCACCACAACACACAGCATACACTACAGGTTCACGCTACAGGGGTCCGACAGCTGGTCTGGTTTTAGATCCTGATGACCCGTCAAGATCACAACCCCTCGTGTTGCATAATTGCTGCATTCTGTCCAAATGCGATTCAGAATGTTGACAAAACTTTTGTCTTAAAATGCCAAAAACTTATCTTTATTATACTTTAGACATAAAGCAAGTGGTTGGGGTTGAGCAACTGTTCAACTGGGCAAGATTCAGTGGAAGCTCCAACGTTTGTTGTCTCCTGGTCTTATGGCAGTTCTGTGATTAACAGGAAATGCAGATCTATGAAGAAGATTGTTCTGGCATCGTTGTGGGTCTGGTCAAATATCTGACTCTGCCCTGAACTGTGCAGGTTGGGTAAAAGTCCGTTTGTCAGTAAAGTCCGGTTCATTTGGGGATGTGTGAATGTGCAATCAAACTCTGATGTGGACCAAGAAAAAGCGAACTCTGGTCCACCTAAAAATCTATGTCTCAGTTTGAAGTGAACTCTGGCTCGATTCAAATACATATGTGGATGTAGACTGCTTCAAAAGCAGGAAGCGAACTATACCACAGGACCCTTTGGGTACATACATCTAGCGGTAGAAGGAAAAATGGCTTGTAGTCTTTCACCAAAGACAAAACAAAATCCTACAACCGCTAAAATCGGATGCAACTCCATTTTCCTTTGCAGTTTGAGAAGAAGGAAAATGCAAATATGTTTTCTTCTGAGGTTTTCATGTTGCTTCCTTTGGGAGTTTTTTGGTGCAGCGCCACCACAGGCATGGAGGGGGACAGGTTTTACAATTGGTTTGTATTGTTTGACACAATAAAATAACCCAAAATTTTGTGTGTGTGAGAGAGAGAGCGAGAACTGCTGCAGCTCAAAATATAAAACAGACGTTGCCATTTGGTCCCCAATTGAACCAAGTCTCCTGGACTCGCCCTAAAGTATGCAAAGCATGGGTATTTGATGGCCAGGGGTGGGAATCGCAGCTCTAGATGTTTGCGAGTGAGAAAGACTTATTCAAAATGTAAAGTGTCTTCTAAACATACACTGAAACGATATCCATAAATGGTTTTAGGTGCTTTGAGTGACATCCCCACACTTATCCTGGAGGCATTTCTGGAGTGGAAAACATGAACATTAGCGTGTTAAACATAAAAAGGAAAACTGCTGGGAAGAGCACTTGGTTAAATTGCTGTCATTTTAAAGCCTCCAGCCCCTCGACTTTAATTTGTGTCTGAACCGTGGTGAAACATCGGGAAATAGAAGGCAGATTTTCCTACATTCTGATGGCTGAAATGCTGCTAGCTTTAAACGTGAAGCAACTGCTCACGCACGCGAGTTGGTTCAAAAAATAGTTTTTTGATGTTCCTCTCATTCTGCGGTCTTAACAGCTACAATGGTCCTCTGGAGAGAGCAACATTTGCACATTCAAGGCTGGACAAGAGCTCAGAGGGTGCAAATTTACAGGGGAATTTTTATTCAGTAAGATGTGGTTTGCATGTGTGGGTTTTGCTAAGATGGAAAGATATTTTTATTATTTTTATTTTTTAAAGAACTTGTGATAAAGCTTTCTCAGGTTTATGCGGCTCACCAGGTGATTCTGGCAACGCAGGATGTCAGTTCCAGCTTCCTCCGGCGCATTAAGCGTTTTGGGTGAGGATGAACCCAACCTGGTCTGAGGATTACGTCACGTCAGTTTTAGTGAAAGGACTTTTCAGAGGACAGTAGGGTTGTCGTCTTGATACTAAAAATAATATTCTTGCGATTTTTCAAGGCACAGAACAGCAAATACTATTAAAACGTGAGTAAAACATGAATACCCATTTAGAAATAAATATGTTACTTCCATCTATTGCAAAATGATGGTCAAGACTGTGACCTGTTTTAGAAGTGTTAACATTTACTGGTATCATTTCCTACTATAAGAATTATTAATTTTTCATTATGTTAAATGCTATTTTCATGTTATATTAGCCCCCAAAGGTGACTAATCTTTCTTTTCACTGTGTGCATTTGGCATTGGCCAATGTGTGATTATTTTACCAAGTCACTTTTATAATAAAAATCAAAGCACAACTCTTTGCTTTAGGTCATCAATGACATTAATTAACCCCTTAACCCTCAGCCCTGGAAAATTCAATGGAAAAACTGCACACGGGCGTTTGGCTGCACGTTAAGGGGTTTTAAGGGACTTGAGGGGATGCGTTGCTAACTTTTCATCTTGTTGGAGTTCTCAAACACATTTCATACTGTTAATTACTGGATTTTATATGAAGATCTCCTTCGCTATTGAAATACTTTATAGGAGTGTGGGGTTTTTTTTCGTGCTTGTCACCTAAAAACTGGTCCACAGACAAAACCAGCTCTCCATGGAAGCCGCACATAGCTCTGGATAAAAGGCGCAGACACATCCACTGCTGTTGCACAAGTCAAACTCTGCTTAACCCTGTTTTAGGCACCTGAATAAGGGGGTCTTGTTGTTGAAAGACCTCTGGGGTAACACTGAAGACCCCACTGTATTTGTGCATGTATTCTACAACCGTAAAAATGAACTCACATCGTCCAAAAATGAAAAAGAACTCGAACTTTTACAGATTTAACAAAAATCAGCTGAGTCCTGACCCATGAAAGAGACTGTTTTCTTTCTTTTTTTTTTTTTTTTTAATCTGTGAAAGGCACTTTACAAATAAAATTTAGCTTACTTACTTGCACACAGCTGTCAGACTAATAGAGCAGCTTAGGACCTATTGTTCTTTTAGAACTCACGTCTTCACATGGATCGGTTATCTGAAACCTTTAACCAGCTTTTGTCCTAATCCGTCTGATAAACACGTAATGGGACGTTTTACCCTCGCTGCGGCTTGGCTAACGTCCAGGTCATCGTTATCGGTTTACTGTCAAGATAATTCATTTACGGAAGCTAATTGCATGTTTAATTAGCCTCTGTTTAATTCTCGTTACATAAAACTGTGGAACTTAATCAGATTCTGTAAGTGGATTCAAGAACATGTCTAAATGATACCAACTCCCATTTCTTTTGTGTGACACACAAGCTCCCTTTATTTTCTAATTAAATTTGATTGAACGCGTGGCTCGCTCATTGAGGGTTAGTGCATCTGAGCAAGTGAACAGACAGATGACTTAACTGTTAAAGAAACTGATACGCGACGGTAGTGAAAGCGAAATCTGATGTTGTAATGAGGCCCGCATTCAGTTCAACAGCTCTGTCGCTAAACTGTCATGATGCTGCATGGGTTTCTGTTGGACGTGCATCTATTTCTTCTGTTGCCTGTTGCACTGCACTTATTCACCACTTTTAAACCTGAAAGGCATTGCAGCTATGACACGATTTTTGCAGATGGTTGACTGCACGTGTAATCGTAGAAATGTTCATATTTGGGGAAGATCGTATTCTGCAGCTTATGCTGGTTTATCGGCAATGTTGTGTCAACGCAAGAGTGCACATTGATGGTAAGCTCCTCGAGGGAATCTTAGATTGCCTGGAGTTTTCAGAACGCTATTAAGAGTGAGTCTTGCAGGGCCTTGTACTAAACTTATTGGATTCCGTTTGGGTGTACTTTTTAATGGGTGTTAGTGTTCTGATTGATTTCTGCAGCCCAACTTTGAGAGTAAGCACCTGCGTTGCCTCTGCTCCCGAGGTTGTTAATCAGAAGAGTGCAACAGCATATATTAGCAAACTGCTTAAAGTCTCAGGCCAGGCAGATGTTTATATCAGTAGCTCTTTGGAGTTGGAGTCCATGTTATATATTATTATTTTTGTCTGACCTAGAAGTCCTTCAATCATAAAAATAAGGCTCCTAAGCTGAAAGAATGAACATGTGATGTTGACACACAACAGGGTACTACACTGCTAAATATCTTTAAAGAAGAACCTTTCTAGTCTTTGAAATCAGGAGGAAAGGCCCTCTAGTATATATTAAACTCTATTTCCCAAAACGTGCAAATCTGGCGTATGGATTTTCTGGTAGAATAATATCACGGTGGCGAATAGCAGTGAATTTAAAATGGCCACACTAGCGCCGTGACAACTTTACAACTTCATCACGCCTGAAGAAGACTGGCAGCTCTCCAAGACAGTCATTGTAAGGCACTGTGGCTGCTATGTGCATTGTGTCCAGCATCGCTCTAGCCAAAAGAATATCAGCAGTATTTGGGAAAAAAAAAAAAAGATCATACTGTTCATGCTAAAGTACCTATACCAAGATCAAACATGGAATAAGCCGAGCCAACTGGGCCAATCAGCAAACAGAAGGAGAAGTTGCGAATGAGTTTTTAGGACTGTAATCCGCCTGCAGTTGAGTAATGGCAGCGGTGGAAGTGAACAAAGCCGATCAAGTGTGTGTTGGCCACGGTTCCAAGTATTGAATTTTGTTTAGGTTGGCATTTCTCTCTTCGGGGTTGAGGACGGTTGTTTACAGCGCAGGTGATTTCTGGTAAGCTTCATAGCCTTGAATGTTAGCGACTAGGTAAAATTTCAGACTTCAGCAGAGTCCATGTTGTAGCAAACAACTGTTTCTGAATAGCCAAGGGTCCAAAAGGGACTGTTTTCTTTTATTGTTTCCGTCTTGTTTTAGGTCTGACACCTCATCCTGATAAAAAATGTGGCAAAGGAAAAACTCTGAATGAGCTTCAGCTATGTATAAAACCACAACAAAAGACTACAGGACATAAATAATAAAAAGACGACGAATAAATTAAAATTCCTGTCTGGCAACGCACACATTTATCAGAATAGACTAATGCATAAATGCTCACAGCCGAGCTGCAGAAGAATGCCTGTTTTCTTGTTTGCTTGCTTTAGTCATCACAGAAAAGCCCCGACGGTGCCATGTTGAGCTCTCCGCTCGCCTTCATTTCTTCCTTTTTTTTTTTCTTATAGCGGCAAGTCTTTCCAAAACTCAAGGGCCACTCAGGGATTTGTGTTAATTATATCACATTAAAGTTGATCCTCATCAGGCGTCTTTGACAACTTGCGAAAATATAACCACAACAGAGAACCATTTATTATTCATCAGGCACTTATTAAGATGGGTTTCAGCAATAAGAACAAATATCTGGACACCACTTGATGGCGTAGCTGCTAATGGAAACTGCTTTATGACTGTTTTTGTCTCCTGATATCTCAGTGAAACTGAAAATGTCCAGAAGCATTAAAAAGGTTTCAGTGTTTGACACCGTCATCCCCGGCAGCCTGAGCAATCACTCATTTTCTTGGCTAATTATCGCCTCCTTTCAGAACCCTTGGGTTAGGGAAATTACCAAAGCTTTACTACAGAAAATGGCTTTGTAACAATAATTCAACAGCGGCTCTTAAATGGTTAGAAAGGCGTCGCCGTGGGGACCGATCATTAAAGCCTGTGGTGCACGCTGTGCTTTAGTGAGAGTGAAGGTTTGCCGGGAAACATGCAGGATGTGTCGGAAGGCAGAACCTGGCGTGTTGAGCTAATGAGGGGAAGCACCGATAAGTTGCTTTATGGGCGAATTAGTAGAAGTAATGGGGTTGGGTGGAGTATGCTGTGTGCTTCTTGTGGCTTGGAGAATTTGAGCTACAAAAATAGCCAAAGTCCTTGTTTAGGACAAGGTGAGAGGGGAGTGATGGACGGATAAAAGAAAAAAAATGAAGTGGGTTAAATTATAAGAGACCAAATTTGATTTCAATTAGTGGCCTGGGCTAATGAGGCACAGAGCATGTCGACCTAACTCTGTCCTACCTTGCCTCTCCCTCTGTCCCCCAGCCTTCCTCCGCTAACACTACCAACCCTAAATCTCTCCTCTACAGCTGGGTGTACTGGAGCTCCACTAAGTCGGGGCTCGCGTCTGCGGCTGGATCCTTAAAGTAGAGTGTGGCAGTGTCTTCCCCCCGCTGGCCCGTCCGCCGGGCCCTATGCTCGGTCACCTCTTTGGGCTGCTCCTGCCGGCAGCGGTTGCTGTTCCACCAGGCTTCCAAGCCGGCCACGAGGCAGGCCAGCAAGAGGCCGGCGGCCAGGATGCAGAAGATGCCAGCGAAGCTGTGCAGCTTGAGGGAGCGGCCGTCGGGATGGGCGCTGGCGTGGCTGCTGAGGTCGCAGCGGCCGGTGCGCGGCCACCACTTCTGCTTCATGATGTCCAGGTCGCCTTTCTCCTGCAGCTCCAAGATCCTGAGGGAGACAGCAGGAATGCCACAGAGACGTTTTAGTCCACTTCCCGTTGCTTCGTGTGGCTACTGGTTTACGGTACATACAATGAAATAAGTACTGGGCACAATGTTACTCTCAGTAAGTACATTTCTGATCATTACTGCAAGTCGGTAACAACCCAAATAATCCACACAAATAAACCCATCTGTGAATTAAGTTAGAAGGTGAAAGATAACAGGAAAGTATGTGCTCATTTGTCTCGGTTCTTTTGAAAATAACCACCTCAAAGCAGGTATTTTATCATTTCTAAACAAAGAAAAAAAAATTTCTTTTACCCAGCAAAATTATCAGTTGTGACTGAAAAGCAAAGTGCTTCTTTGAGTCTAAATGACATAAAAGGGATTTTTTTTTTTACAAGCCTCCCACAGATGTGAGTACCTGCGCACATCTTTGTCACAGGTTCACTACAAAGTGCAAACATAGCAGACGGCTTCGGAGTCTGACGGAAAGGTTCAGAGCAATCCTTTCGAAAATCATCCATGTCAGAGCTGTGCGTCTAAACATCAGATATGCCGTTTCTGAAATAAAGCAGGAGGTAATCAGGCCATAAAACCAGAGCCTAATTTGATGTGTTTAATCGGCTCAGCTCAGTGTCAACATGCTGAAGGTCAGCGCACCGTGGCTCTAAACACCCCGAGGACAAAACAGTTTAGCAGCACAAATTCAGCAGAAACTACAAAGTCTGCGAAGGTTCTTAGTGGCCGGATTATCAAGCAGACAGCCGGCAATGGAGGTAGCACAGCAGTTGTGGGATGTGGTATTAACATGATGGTTGGGAACGCGGAGATAATGGCTTCTACGGCGAACAATAGCCCTGCCCTCATTTTAACACTCAAGACACATTATCCCTGCGAGTCCCAGAGCGTTTCGCCGAGGAGATGCCTCCGGCTGTTGGACGCCCGCTGAACCGGGGCCGGGCCCAGAGCGGAAAATTCATTAAATAAGGAGCAGCTCAGCATTCTGTGAGTGGCACAAATTAAACACGGAGTTGTTTAAATGAAGAGGGGAGGGAAGAAGGAGCGGAAGCACCTCCACGGGGGTCAACACGGAGCCGAACGCGACCGCATGCGGCAGGGACCAGACAGGCAAGACAAAGAGGAATGAAACGGTGAAAAAGTTTTCTTAGATCACCACAGCAAGCTCTCTGTTCAGACTGGATCTGGATCAAAAGTAATTTAAATACTGTTTGCTGTGCAAAGGGGGCGAGGGGTTATGTTTAGATTTTTTTTAAATCTCTGACAGAGAGTTTACATCACACCCAGTAACTTCTGTGGAGAACTGGAGCTCATCCATCCACATATCCATCTCAATATTAGCGTAAAAAAGTGAAAAAAGTGAAAGAAGTGAATAATTAATATGCTGCCATTAGTCGGTGTAGCAGGTTTGCTCCATATTACGTTGAGCACATCTGAACATAAGTCACACCCACTAACTTTGGGGAGGGGGAATAAATTACACATGTAGGTCGCGCTAGTCAACAAGCCACGTTTTTTGTGGTTTAGTCAGTTATAAAGTTAGCATTGCTCTGATGTCGCTACCAATGTCGCTGTCAAACATTGAGTCAGACTCTGTTCCTCCTTTCAACAGCTGGAGACATGCAAAAATATTTGCTTTTACATAAGTCCAGACTGTAGAATCATTTGACCGTGTTTGGAAAAAGTTAATTAGACTGGCAAGGAAATCTGCAACAGCAAGCCGTATCTATATAAAATCAATCTAAATGTACGTGAACGACTGTTAGCACAAATATGAGCCAAATGCCAAAACACCATCCCAATGATCAGGGATGCATGTCTGAAGGAACAGCATTTTAACCCTTTCATGCATGAATTATGATCCTCTGTGTCAGGATTTTTTTTTCCATTTTTTATTTTTTTATTTTCATAAAAAAAGGTAGGAAAAATTTTTTTGGTGATCAGATGTAATTTTCTCCAAATACAAAGTAGTTATTTAAAAAAATAAGTCAGTAGTATTGTTCTTTAGGGGTTATCTGATGTCACAATATTTCTTTTTACCTCCAAGAGTTGTCTACAGTAGAAGGAGGGACCGGGTCAGTCGGCATGCTTTTTTGTCTGTCGGCCGTATTGGATTTAACAAAAATAATTTCTTGCATTTCCAACTGATGGCCAGTAGTTGATGGTGTATTTTATGATGCATTAGTGTCCACTTCAGTGGTCTGTGTGCATTTATAACATAAAAATCCACAAGAGGCACAAAAAAGTGGCTTTTATACAGCTGTCCACTGTCGCATAACTAAATCCAAACCGGTGAGACAGTAGCAAAGTCTACATCACAGATACAAATCTGATGCGGCTCAAATTGTTACAGTCTACCTGAATTAAAATACTAGAACAAGTCTGTTTGCTGTATTTTTTTGTTTTATCTGAACAACAGCAGCATTTAACACTAAACAAAAGAGAAGCTTCTGTGGCGTCCTGTATTTGAGGAAAATCTAAAATAATTCTGCAGACAGCAGGGAACTTTCCAAACTTCTCGGATGCAGCTGACTAGCTTTGTGCCTGCTCTGCAGGAGCTGAGCCGATTGTAATTGCTAAAGCTACTCGGCTAGATTCCGTTGGTGTCTGAGGAGCCGAACGAAATGTAACATTGAACTTTTGCTTTTAATAATGTGAAGAAAGCCGAAAGTAACAATCTTCACATACCTGATGTTTGGTGCAATTTATGGTGTCATGTTTACTCGCATACCCGCCGACTCCCTGCGGGGAGCGACGTCGCATCAGCAGTGTGAGTGCAAACACAGAGAACGCCCATTCATTGTTGTCTTTTTGCTCCTCTAACCCTCAGAGAACCGCTAGAAAGCATCAGACGCCGACACCTTCCTCAAACTAATCTGTCACCTCTCTGTGTGGAAGTGTGTCTGCATTTCAGAGGTTTTATCTCCATCCACCCAGCGCTGCTGACTCATCGTCCCCTCAGGTCCACGGCTCGTCACATACAGAGAGGAACGATCTCAAAGAGAAATGAGATTGTTGCTCAGTGTGCGCCTGACCTCGGAGGATGAAAGAGGAGGACACGGAGCTGGAGCCGGGAGGAGGAGAGCGAAAGGGAGGAGGAGGCGTAAACGACGCCTGTGGCGTTACGAGGTGCGAAACACACCGGAGAGCGACTTTCCCAGAGCAACAAAAGAACCCGCAGCACAGCGGTCGCTGCTGCTAATGCTTTGTGTTAACATCTATATTAACACTGAGCCGCCACCTTTTGGTGTTTATGTATATTTCATCCTCACAAAGCGGCAAACAGCGCGCCATGGTTAATGCATTAAGGAGCACAAACATCAAAAACCTACTGCTGCTTCTAACGGGGCAGAGCTGCTGAATAATAGCTGCCCTCCCTACAAACTTTCTATGTTCACATCAGAAGCTTTCAAGGCAGCAGAGACTTCTGAGCCCCGCAAGTTCTTTCCCATCGCACAGAGGGAAAATCCCAGAGCAGGTGCGTAGAAAATTCCTCCTAAAATGACCTGTGTCACTGAAACCTGGTTGGCAGCTGAATTCATCACGAAGGAGATGAATGAATGAACGCTTTTCTTCCTGCATGGTAGCTGCATACGTCTGTGACGAGCGGCGTGTAACGCGCTGCATGTAGGACACCGAGTGACCACAGGGGGGCACCATGAAATTTGACTTGTGAAATATCATTAAAATTAATTGTAGCAACATATTTAACTAAACGTGTATGAAGATTTTTGTTAGTTATGGGCTAAGCAATACAAACGTATCAAGTTTGCTCCATAAAATCCAATCCCTGCAATTCTATTTCAATGGGCAGACACCTGTTTTTGAACGCAGCCTCGAACAGAGTCAGGATGGGAAAAAATACAACAAAAAAAAAACAGCAGAATGATGCTTACACTTTGCTCACATGTCACTCGCCTCACACTCTCTCTCTCTCTCCCCCCCTTCTGTCACTCACTTCTCCGACTCAGCACGTTTTTTGGCGTTCACATAGTTGAGGTGGTTGCAGAGTGAGAGCGCTCAGCAGTGATTGGAAGTTCGCAAAGCATTTGTTCTGTTGGCACCAAAACACAAAGCTTCTGAGCAGGGACTTTCACAAAGGTACCGCCAAGTGACGCGCCAAAGGAAAACTTTCAGAAGTTTTGGATGATTTAGGATCTGTTCTGAAAGTAACACTTTTCTCAATTTAATGTTTTCTTTGTTTTTGAACGTCCTTCATGCAGGCTTCATGTTCATGTTAGGAAACACAGTTGGTACATGTTCTTCTACTGCTGGTACTCTTGATCACTGATGTCCCAGGCAAGTTCTTTATATCTTATATAGCCAGTATGTTTATTGTCATTCTCAGTTCTTTGGACCTGTAGTCCAGGTTTTACTATTCTCTTTCACATAAAGTGAAGTAAAACAGTTCTGCACCCAGAAGACATTTAGTCTTTGTTAGTTAAAACTATTTAACTTACAAAGACAGAAATTTGAAAAATTGTTTTCTTGATCCTACTGCAACATACGAATTTCCTCTCAGTATAAATTTTATGACTTTTCTAACAATTTTCTTTGACTTTACTGGAGGTTGTATTACAAAACCTGTCATACTAGTCTTATTGACTACAACCCAGATGAGAGTAATGAATAAAGCTCATTTACCGTTTCCTCAAACTACATGCTGCATTTATGACCCTCGCTGTCGGGATTTCCCCACAGTGTTATAAGTTTTTTTAATCTTATGTTTCTTAATTTCTGAGACTAAAACATAGAGATGGAAAAGAAGATCGCTGTGGTCAGATAATCTCCCTGTATGCAGATGACGCAGCTTTCTTACTTTCTACTTTCAACCTTTTAGTAATACGCTTTAAATAAAGTTATATTCTCCAATAAATCCCTTTTAAATTACCCATATAAACAGGTTTGTATTATATAATTTCAACTTTTTTATGCTAAAGGCACAAGAAATATGTTAAAACATACTATATCACTAAAATACATTCGTCACCTAATAAAAGTGGTCATCTTATGTTCCTTAAAGTGAAGCAGCAGGTGGATTATTGCTCCAATGACTTCAAATTCAAGAGAAAGAAAAAATAAATCAACAGCAGATGGATGAGAAAGTGTTCAGATTTAAGTGATCTCGCTGTTAATGACGTAATAATGCGGAGATTATAACCAATCTGCATGATTTTTTATGATCTCACTGGGATCAATTTGTGTTTGATTAGGGAGGGGAAGGAAAAAAAAAAAGACTTTTCTCTGCAGCCGCCTGGCTTCGTCTGAGGAAGATGATCCAACTTCCTTAAATTCGCCGGCTTTGCTCAGACATCTGCCTCGCAGAGACGAGGTGAGTAATTAGCACATGTACTTCTGTTTACATTCACACACCGTGAGTAATCCTGTTTTCTTCGCAACAACGCGGCTTAATGCGAACTCCTTTCATGTGAGCCTAATTGACTTCAGCCTGGAAGGCGTTATTGATTGAACAGCGAGAGCGCGGCCGGCAGGGAGGCGTTTCTTATCTCCCGATCTTTTAACACGCAGGTTTAAGAATCAGCCGGTGTGACACCACTTCGTCTTCCAGCAAGAATGCTCCTCGTTAAAAACTCTGTCGTAATTTGCCGAGACAGGCGGCTCAGTGAGACCCTTTGCTCATCAACACAGGCGTTTTTTTAAGGTGAGAATGAACCCTTAAGGTCAACGACGTGGATTAGAGGGAAGGGAAAGCCTTCAACCTCCATCATCGTCTTTGTTTTCCTGGCCCTTTAAAGCAGCTAAAACCCTGATGCACGTCAGCTGAAGATTCACATTCAGCCATCAACAGATAGCTGTAATAGATCTCAGCTCAAACCTCCAATATTAAAATGTTAAATAAATACACGTTTTCCATGCATTTGCCCCTGTCGGCCACCATATCAGGAGAACCAAAAGAAGCATTTCGTCCTTTTCGATGATCTCCTCGTCGTTACACTCACTTCTGAGAGAAGAGGTCTCTGTACGGGCTGCCGTGCTGCATGGCGATGCCGTAGCCTTTGCTGCTCATGCTGTTTCCTGAAACCGTGATGGTGCAGTCGTCGTCCGTCAGCGCCGCGTACTCCAGCACCGCCATGTCCCACAGGAAAGCGTAAGGACTCTTCTTTGCCTGGAGCACGAAAGAGAAAAAAAAAAACATGATGTAGAAATTTAAATTTGGTCAAATTTGGTCCAGACCCGACGGACACCAGATAGAAAACAGCATCAGCTTTATAACAGAAGCCTCTCTTTCAGCTAAACGCATTTATCACCTCAAATAAAGCAACTTTGTCGGAACTCTGCATGAATACATTATTTTCTAAAAAGAAAAGAACTTCTTCTCCAGAAGTTTATTTAAGGTGGCCAACTAATCTCATCTAACTGCACTGATTCACTGACAAAAGCTACATCCAAGGACTAGTGACAGCTCTGATGTTTTCTCTCCTTTATATCCCGAACAATGTTTCCAATAGCAACACTAAAGCACCCCAATGTGGGTCCTTTATTATCGGTACTGGCTTTGACAGAAATTCGTTGTGGTTGATCTCCGCCTCAAAGCTCTTCATCACTTTTGTTTGTTTTTAAAAACTTTAATGTTTTTTTTTTAATACAACCTGCTTCAGAAGAGAGTGCAAGTCAGAAGTTTTTATGATTTATTTGACCTGTTTCGTTTCCCAAGACAGAAAAACTTAAAAGTTTGATAACCATTTTTTTCCCCTCCCCCTTTTCTAAATCCTATGAACAAGTGGCATGTTTGCAGGAGTCAGAGTCTTAAACCATAACAACATTGCATCATTTCCATTCATGGCAGTGGAAGCATGATGCATCACCATCGTAGGAAGCTTCAAATAAATCAGAAATAAATGACCATGACAGATGAATGTAAAACTCCTGCAAGGTGCTGCAGGTATTCTTATTTATGGCGTTATTGTGTGGCGCTCTTGCTCGCTCCTTGTTAAAGATAGATAAACCCAGTGTTAGGTAATCTTCTCCCCGCAAGCAATGAGCCAGAAGCTGATGTTTAACGGATTTGGTTCCGTTACAGTGTCAAGAACACGCCGACATGCGATACTGTTGCCGAGAACAGAAGGCTTTGTCTGTGCTGTGCTGCAGAGGCGGTCTGTCGGAGGTGATGGGTAAGGATGAGGTGACAACAACACTCAGCGGCAGCAGCAATGGCAGCGGCGGCGGTGAGGTTTAAGTGGATGAGGACGTGGGTGTTTTCACTGCATCAGCAGTGCTGCTGCAGGACTTTCTGCCTCCACCGTTTTGACCTGTGTGAATGAAAGCACATTGTTCTCTCCGGAGTTACACAAAGACGTGTTTTTAGATCATTTCATGCTGTTGCCGTCCTCTGATGTGCAGCGTGTAGCTGCTGCTGTCGGCTTCGCGTCTCGTCACTGCTCGCAGTTTGCAGGCTGAGTGAGATACTCCTCTTTAGCAGCGTTTGAAGTAACACGCAGCAGAAATAAGATTTTCAAGAATAAAGGAAGAGAAAAGCCGAACAAGAGAAGCCCGGAGGAACCATCGGCTTCACAAATATCATCTTAGGCTGTCCCACAACTGGAGAACTACAGTGAGATCATCTGTCCGACAGCTGAGACTTGTTCCAAACTGGGTCATCAACTGGCCAATTAAGGATGCAAACAATTAATTGATTTATGATTAATTGTCAGTTAATGGTTTAGTAAATTAAAACAGATTCCAATCGATTAACTAATAATGTCCGGTTCCCGTCTTTTTGTGTTGCGGTTTGGCGGCCATCCAGTGAAGAGCGCTGTTGGTCATCCTTAACCACAGCCAGTTGATAGAGAAATAAAGACGGCGGGGCCATAGCAGAACAGGAAAGAGAAATAGTCCAAACTAAGTCCAGTGTGGGATGGAAAGTGAGCTTCGTGCTTTTCCGTTTTGAAACTAAACGCTCAACAAGCTCCTTAAATTCCACCTTAATAGCACTGATTCATCCAAATTTACCAAAGTGCTACCGAGGTCAGGATGTGATGGCGGAAAAACAAGGAAATGTAACAGAGAAACATTAAACATCTAAACCTGATTAAAATGCTGTGCTTGGACCTTCAGTTAGCTGCACAGAGACAAATGTCTTCAAAACCCCAATGAAAGGAAGAACAGTAGGAAAGCTGAGAGGGACAAATTATTTAATGTGACAAACTGATAGTCAAAAACACTAGTGAGCAGTATTGCTGCTAAAGCTGGTTCTGAAAGCTGGCGAATCACTACATTTATTCACACAACGTTCTGCCCTCTGACCCATTCCATGAGGCCAGTCATTCATATTGCATTTCATGGTCGCTCTCGACAAATAAAAAAAATCGATTTTGGCCTCGCTTTGAAGGCAAATGCAAAACTCTCTCTTTAAAAAGGAACTTGAGGATTTTGTTTTTAAACCATTAAGCTGCCTCAGCCCATGTGAAGTGCATCCTAATCAACTGAACAACCAGTCGCAGGACTGGAGGTTCCAACGCTGCCTGTGAAACAGATGAAAAACTGTCTGTGTACAGAACGTTTTGATGGGGGGGAAACGTCAGCGGTTCCAGGGGGAGGTTTATCACACAAACGGCTGAATAATGGATGCGCTCAAAGCCGATTTGTCTCCGAAACTAATTTGTCATCGGCTTTTTGGGAGATCTACGAGCATAATAACGCGCAGCAGCGCGGCACTGGTCCTGCTTTCACACGCGTGCACACACACATGGGATACTGCCTAACTAATTGGTCCATTGTTCAACCGCGCTTGCAATTAAGTAATAGATAAACAGATGAATGTGTGTGTTTGCCTGTTGTGAATGAAATGAGGAGAGCGTGCGCGTTTTAAATGACTACTGACGATAATTTGGGTTTTGTTCAGCTTCCCCCCGCCCACAGATTCTGAAGGCTGTTTCTCATAAACACCCTGTTTGTGTCTGACAGATTAATTCAGGTTTAATCTAATGCGACAATTTAGCTGTGGTCCAGCAGAGATTAAAATGCAGGCAACAAAAAAATCTCCTTCAGATAAAACTACACCAACACCAACATCTAATAGTGTTGCTGTTGACTTTCGTCACCTCGGTTTTAACGTAATTCTGCTAAATTTACTAAGATGGACCTTACTTAGTTTGTATGAGAAACAAGCAACGGAAAATGACATGGTTTTCAGTTTTTACAAGTAAAACTTTAAAAAACACTATTTAATGCGATACTCACAAAGAAAACCCAACTGGGAGCGTTTAAGTACAGTCCGGCTGCGGACAATCCAACCTAAAGGGGCCGCTCTTTTGCCCCTTCAGTTGTTCGTTTTTGGTTTTTTTCAATGATTTTTACACTCATGACGTTTGCCACAGACTGAGACACAAACCTTGCGGATGCCTTCTGACGGGCTGGACACGGAGTAGTCCATGCCGTCGTTCTTGCTGATGGTCCTCCACAGCTCTGCGTACGTGCTGTCCTGCTCCAGAGGGTTGGTGCCTTTATTCCTGAAGTAGTCGTAGACGGCAGAGTCTCTCACTGTGCCGTACTCCACGTCGATCTGCCTCGCCAAGTCCTGGAATGACCTGCAGGACGGCGTAAAAACACAGGGGTCATTGTTGATGGGCAGCGTGTCTCTCACTTTATGTTTCAGTTTTACTGCTGGCTTCTTTTTTTCTTTTCCAAGTTGTTAATAAGGTATGGCAGCCATTACCACTGGCAATGAAAAAAACGGGTATTAACATGAATTAATCTTTTACCATAGTATTGTAATCTTATGCTGGAAATATTAGAAAAATGTAACTTTTAATTTGAATACATTTGTTTAGCAGTAAAGAAAAATTCCATGTAAGAAAATTACCAGATATTTTCCCCCTGTTCATTATTTCTTTAGATGACTTTTTTTTCTTTTAAGGCATAATTTTGTAACCCCTAACACTTCTTGTAAAATAAATGATGTTAAAGCTGTTTTTGTAATTTAGAAATTGCTTGGTAAAAGTGAGTCAGGGTGTGTGGGAACTTTTAATTAGTACATTTCAGTTTCCCAGGGATATAAATATGATGCATCAGGAATAAAGGGTGAGAGAACCTGGACATTCAGGTCAACAACTGGACAAAGATTTTGTCTTCATGGTGAAGAGGAGGGTAAAGGTCTCCAAAGCTCAATGACAAAGAACTGCCAATTGTGGCATCTTTGTCTCACCAAGTCTCCATGACAACCACTAGACACCATCTACAGTAGAACTCAGTACACATCTCTGGCAGCAAACTACGGCTTTCGTAATGCAAAAAAAGAGAAAAAAAAAGTGAAACACGCCTTAAATGTAACAAACACATATTACATATATATATATTCCAGCTGAGTTTATTCTAATTGCCCCTGAGGTTCCAGCCCGACCGGCCCAATCACCGCACCTCATT